GACAGGGAGCAGCTGGAAATCCAGGCATTTAACTCTAACTTTGCTGAGTAATCTTCCTTTCATTTAATAGTTTTTGTTTTGGCTTGTTTTTTGCAGAAATTTCTAAAAATACTCACGACTTGGAGTGGACAGAAATCCCTCCTGAAATCCCCAAGCTCAGAGAAGGTATTCTTAAAGACACAGGTAGAGACAGACAGAACACGTGTATTAAGAGTTTAGAGGCTTTCAAAGATGTCTAGTGTTATTTTTAAGTCTATATTAGCAAAGAAAAAATTTTCCTGGTTTCTTTTTGGCTGGTGTTTTTGCTTTCTTGTCCTTTTCACTCCTCGTCCTCACCTGTATCAGTTTGCCCAATTTACACAAAGTTTTGATAAATGCCAACACAGACTTTAAAGAGTTGCCCCTTCGAGGGCTGGAACATTCTTCGAAAATGCCGAATTGTGAATGGTGCTCTTTGGAAGTTTCTCACAGCACATTCATACACAACACTCAGAGTCAACATTTTTGCCCTAAGAACACTTCAATTGTAATGACCCTAACTCATTTTTGTTCTGCACTGTCATCTCAGTTTGAGGCTTCCAACTTTCAAAATGGTATCGTTGTGTAAGCCAGATAAGTGCGCACTGAATGGAAAAGAAAGTCTCAAGGGAGACTGAACACCAAACACCAACACGAGGAGGAGGAAGAAGCTGTAACGTCTGTCCACCGGCTGAGATGCTGTCGTTTGTGCGGAAAGTTCCCTCATGCAGATGCAGGGCTGGGTGACAAGCTGGGATGACACACTGGTCATCAGTGCACACACACACAACAGTCTCCGGGGTCCCTCCTGCTGCAATGTGCGATGGGCAAGTGGTGATGGTGGGGAGTCCCCAATGGCAGACAGACTCGCAGCAGGCGGGGATCATGTCGTGTTCTTGTGAACAGAGGCCTGTGGTTGGTTTCTCATCCCGGTAAACCAAAGGCATTATGGTGATCTCAAAATATTTTTGGTCTCTCTACAAATTATCGTTATTATGGCAGCACTTTTCTAAGCTGGAATCTCAAACCAAAGGCACTTTCATGCTAGAGTGCAGAAGATTCACAAATAGCTAAGTATTTGGTCATGGATTTAAAAGGCAACATTAAAAGTACAATTTGCTTTTCATAGTAAACTATGAAGTTGCAACCTCTCCTTTTGGTATATACATTTGAGAGTGCAGTCAGAGAACTGATTCGTGTTCAGTTTCAGATTTTAGACCAAGTAGTCAGTTTCCCATTGAACTGGAGGAAAAATGGGCTTAAAAAACAAAAATGGAAATAATTTTTGCTTGTTCTGCTTCAAATATTGGGCCAATTAGTGAATGAACATGGAGAACAGGTGTAAGAAAAGGCTGGCGGCACGACTACAGTATTACTAAGGCACTGCTTACTGGAACGCTTTGGCAGCTCTGAATTGAAAACTTCCTAAAAAAGTAACAGTAGTAAGAGAAATGCTTCCAGCTTACAAAAGAGCTCACAGTTCCGAGGCAGCCTTTTGCACTGCACACCCTACATGCAACATCTCGAAGATTTAAGGCTTTTCAGAAATGACATGTGCAGGGCTTTGCCACAGAAACATCAACAGAAAGAAATAAGCAATGCAGACACATCCTTCTAACGTCACAGGTGTGAACACCAACAAACAGAAGTAGTTCTACCCTTCGTTAGGACTAGTGTAGTGTACCAAAGCATATACAAAATTACACAAATGATATGTACCTGGTTTGTAAAATTGACTGTCATCTCGTATGATTTAAATAATTTAGGTTTGTACAAAAACAACTGCTAAAGCCACCACAGTATTGAAACCTAATGAATACTTGGGTTTAAAAGTCACTTGGGGACTTTTAACACCAAGTGCTTGGAATGGGGACTGTTTTTGGCTGGTCTGAGTGCAGGACTTTGCTGCTGGGATGCTTAGCAAATAGAAATTGGACTCAGAGCCTGTGGCAGGTGAATTACCCTCAGAGTACATGGAAAAGAAAAAGGCTCATCAGCTTTCCTATCTGTTGTGGGTGCCTCAGAGCACTATGGTCAAACAGGACACTCAGTGTGAGAGGCAGCAGCAGGGGACACTGTGCTTTAGCACAGGGGGATTCTGAGCTCCCCCTTTCTTCTGAACTGACCCTGTCCACACATTCTTAGGGATCATTTAAGCATACAGCACCGATGAAGAACAGCCTCCACCAGAAGAGGCCAAGGATTAAAGTGGCAGAAGCCCTGGGAAAATCCTCACCCTTATTTTGTCACTAACCCGTGGGGTGTGTGACTTTGGTGAGTCATCTCCCCTCTGAGCCTCAACTTTCTCATCTGCAAAATGAAGGAGAGGAGCTTGTGCTCTGTTTTAGCTCAAGAAAGAAAATTTTATAAGCCTTCTTCCGGAACTGATCCCTCCCTCATCCACCCCTAAAGATAAAAAGAAATGTTCAGAGGTTTCAATAAATCCTACAAACAGCAGTGACTATAAGGCAGAAAGCAGAAGATGCCCAGAGGAAATATACTGAAATGATTAAAGGTTTAATAATGAGACCCATGAGCTTATGAGAAATAATAAAAATTGCTGGGATTTTTTTTTTTAACCCCAGTGAACTAAAGGATGAAGATCAAATCAGAAACACTCTTTAAATAGGTGTGAGTTGATTATAGGGATGAGAGTGATCAGCTGTTCCAACTTCCCCAGGGATGAGTGGAAGAAAACTTGTAGCAAGAGAGACAGTTAGAAACAGAAGTTTTGAAACAGGAAGAAACATGGACACAATGTCACTTCATTAATATTCCCACCTGCCTCTTGATAACCTGAAACAAGGCTCCCAGGAGAGAAGCTTTCGCAGGTGAAATGGAAGGGAAAACAATCTCAAATGTGGTAACTGTGACCTGTAAGATCTAGGGCAGCAGTGGAGTGATTTTGCACCCCAAGGGACATTTGGCAATGTCTGCAGACATCTTAGGTTGTGAAAACTGGGGGAAGGGGTGCTACTGGTACTACCTGGTAAAGGCCAGTAATACTAGTAAACCTCCTGTAATGCACATGGTAGTTCCACACAACAAAGAATTATCTGATCCAAACATCAATAGTGCTGAGATCGAGAAACCCTTGTCTTGGATAGCTTGGACATTCTGGGATTCAAGGACATGTTCTGAAGAAATCCTGGTTTCATTTTAGGTCTCACACTAAAATGGAAATGAATGCCAACAGACCAGAGCCCAATTCTTCAGCAACTCCTTGTGTAGGCTGCGAAAAACTGGCCTCCAAACTCTGCAGTGAAAGCACAAGACTTCCCTAAAACAAACCTGGTATTGGAGGGTAACCAGGAGATAGAGCACCCAGAAGAGCATGGTAAGGACAGGCCTTTGGAAAGGCGCTTTTGTGGTTTGGAAAGCTTTTATGATAAAGAGAGAAGACTTCCATATAGAATACAGGACCAAAGAGAGATTGGCATTAGATGTTATAACACAAATTCCACCCAAGGGTCTAATTTGGGAGAGACAGATAGAGGCCCCAAAGTTTTGGGTAACTGGACCAGCGGTTAAGATAGGGAAATACCTATCTTAACTTCAGAAGAACAAGATAGGAAGTAAACTTTTAAAATCTTTATTTTTTTTGGGCCGGCCCGGTGGCGCACTGGATAGTGCGCTGCTTGGGAAGCGCGGTGGCGCTCCCGTCCGAGGGTTCGGATCCCACGTGCAGACCGGCTCCCGCTCACTGGCTGAGCGAGGCGTGGGAGCAACGCCGAGGCTTGCGATCCCGTTGCCGGTCCCGGTCCGGTACGGGGGGCAACACTGAGGGTTGCAATCCGTTGCCGGACACAGAAAAAAAAAAAAAGACAAAAAAAAAAAAAAAAAAAAAAAAAAAATCTTTATTTTTTTTGGGCCGGCCCGGTGGCGCACTGGATAGTGCGCTGCTTGGGAAGCGCGGTGGCGCTCCCGTCCGAGGGTTCGGATCCCACGTGCAGACCGGCTCCCGCTCACTGGCTGAGCGAGGCGTGGGAGCAACGCCGAGGCTTGCGATCCCGTTGCCGGTCCCGGTCCGGTACGGGCGCTACACTGAGGGTTGCGATCCGTTGCCGGACACGAAAAAAGACAAAAAAAAAAAAAAAAAAAAAAATCTTTATTTTTTTTTGGAGGCTGGCCAGTATAGGGATCCAAACCCTTGGCCTTGGTGTTACAAGGCTGTGCTCTAACCAACTGATAAAAATCCTAGAAATGTTTTAAGAGCAAAAAGTATTCCTTGAGGTCAATCCTGTAAACCCAGAGAACTACAAAGGTATTCAGCAGAAGTAGACATGGCTGGTGAGGCATCAGGGGCCCAGCCTGACCCTGCAAGGTCAGCAGACTGGGGTGTGACTTTCTCTGAAGCCAACAGAGTTATCCTCTAGCTGCTCATCCTGGGTCCTGGTCTTTCTGTGCTTTGAAAAGTAAATTCCAAGAGCCCTCCTGGCAGCATAGAAGAGCCCCATTCCCAGGTGGGAACACGAGTCAGGTATCTGTCCTCCTGAAATTCTGGGATGGCCTTTAAGACCACATAAGACCATTTGCACCCAGCCATATAGTACTGGTCCTTGAAGAGAATGGGAGTTCTCTTGAGGAAAGATGCAAGAAACAAGAGCAAGAGCAACACAAGTCATTGTAAATGTGATGACTGTGAAAGATGCTTAAATGTTAGCTTGGGTGGAAAACCAGATGAGAAGCTGGCTTGGAACCAGGGTGCAAACGGTAGGCTCTTCATGGAGGAAAGAGCAGCCCTACCCTACCGGTTTATCAAAGTGATGTGCATTCCAAATGTGGACAGCTTTGTACTTCCTTCTCTCGTCTTCCCAGTGGCCAGTGATGTGTCTGGGAGAGGTCAGGCTTAGGCCAGTGTTTTTCTGATTGCCAGCCACACCCTCATGCTCATTACCACGAGATGCTGACCAATGTACAAGCAAGGTCAGAGCAGACAGATGGTGGGACAGGGAACTGGCAGGGTGGGGGTAAGCTGCTTGGAGGTGGTATAACTAAGTTTTTATTTTCTAGCTTGGTGAAAAAATCTTGACATGATGTACAACTTACAAAACTTATTTCACTTTCTATTGTGATAACATATTCCTAACAGGTATAAAGACATCATTTTCTTTTAGGAAGGTGGGGAAGGTATCCCCCTGTGCCCTCCTCAGTAAAGCACGTATGAAAATAACCCAAAACACGTGTCCACATCAAACCAACTCTGTCTGGGCAATACTTTGGAATATTTGGATTAGAAAATTCAATCTCTCTAGGAAAGAGAACCTCCTGGAAAGAGTAATAAAGCCTGTTTGAAAAGGTCAGAGAGAGATAGCTGGGCCTCTTAAACTAACTCAAACAAGGGAGTACTGTGAGTTACTGACAGATGTAAAGGAAACAATGTCCTTAAAGAGAATGCATTTAAGTCTACAGACATGAATTGAGAAATACATACATATCAGCACCTAGCAAACTAAGTGACACTAAATAGATGTTCAATGAATGTGCTGAATAACTATATATGTATGTATGTATACATCTATACAAATACATACACATAGAGCTATAGTTATAGCAGGCTATTATGCATATTGGATCACCAGAAATAAAGAATTTATCCACAGGCTGGTGAAGATGCTTACAATTTTGGGGGGAACAGAGATGCTAAAACTGATGAGCCTTTTACTTGTTTGGTCGAGAAAATTTTCTCCCAGCCACAGGATTCTCTATACTTTGTAGTGCACAGTGCAGTATTCATGCCAATTTTTAAATTTTGTTATTAAATTTCAGTGGTTCAAATATTTATTTATCTTAATAAAAAATTTGGTTCTCCATATAAAATATAACTGCACACAGAAGACTATAAACATTGTTAAGTTTAGATTTTTCAGTATTTATCTACTTATTGCAAAAAAAGCCATCTTTTCATTAAATAATCAATCATCACATTAGTACAATACAATTTTATATTTTTAAATATACTATATATGTTAAGGATAAGGGGTGAAGTTCCTTTGTGATACCTGTTCAAGAGTTTAATGGATTAGGAGATTAGTTTAAACCTTGAGGAAAAAAGTACAAATTTGTCTCATTAGGGTATTTCTACCAAGCATTTCTTAAGGCTATAGTTTAACATTTGGTTTCAAAAAGAAAGGTTTCATTTAAAAAATAATTTAGTGAATTACATTCTTTCATAACTTCCACCCTAATTAGTTACAAAGATAAGTCTAAAGATTCTTAGTTTTGTGTACTAATTTACATTTATATTTAAAGATTAATTTTACTTGTATCTTAAAACAAGAATTTTATGTTGGAAAAAAGAGAACTAAATACATTTGTATAAAGGCTGTAAGTGTCCCATGGCAAATGCTCTGTCTCAATATTTTCTACCACAATTAGAAACAGATCTCTGCAGAGAGAGACTTAGGTTGTTAAGGTTCACCTTTCCCGAGGAATTGTGGGCTGCAGATCTGAAGAACACATAGAAACAACTTGATTTCTCTTTTTTACAACTGTACCAGAACTTCACAGCTACAATGATAGTATGAACACATGAAAAAATGACTTCACTCAAACAGGATTTCGAAAAGTTGGGGTGACCTCGGGGCCAGGGCACCACCCTGTGTGGTGAGGTTTACAGTCAGTCGTTCAATAATGGAGAGAGTGTGTGTGCACATATGTGTGTGTGTATATACAGATATCTATATATATAAATAACCATGTTCAGTCCTTTACAAGCCTGTAAATATGATGCTGTGCTCCATGTTCACTATTTGAAACTTCAAATACACAGGCCATGCAGAGGAGAGTTTCTTGTGTATCCCTGTTTGTTACCACCTGTTAAAATAAAAAAAAAAAAGCACATATATATAACACCACGTGGATGAAAACAAATTCTACCTGTGCCATGATGACTATGATTTAATTGGAGAAGAACAGTCCTAAGTCCACCTAGTGGATTATTAGGTGTCTGTTCAGCCTCACTCTGTGGGTCTAACATGAATCCCTCTAAACTGGGTACTATACATAAGAAAGACCTTATAGAGAGGATCTCGCCCAAAATCTGAGTGAGAAGAGCCCAGAAGAGACCGCAGAAATTAGTGTGCTTTTTGACTGATTTCTTTACAATGAAGAGAATTTCCCGTAATTCTGTCCCACAAGACAAATGTTTATCATAGGACCTTTTCTCCTATCTTATTTTATTCTCATTTATTTATTTTGACCGGTAAGGGGATCGCAACCCTCGGCACAGTGTGGTCTGTACCACGCTCAGCCACTGAGCACACCGGCCATCCCTATATAGGATCCAAACCCACGGCCTCAGTGCTACCAGCACCGCACTCTCCTGAGTGAGCCACGGGGCTGTCCCCTATCTTATTTGATTTTTAATTGACAAATAATAACTGTATATATTTACGGGGTACAATGTAATGTTATGATACATGTATACATTGTAGAATGATTGAATCAGGCTAATCAACATATTCATCCCCTCACATACTTATCATTTCTTTGTAGTGAGCACATTAAAATCTACTCCTTTTCCTATCTTATTCTTAAACTTTTGCTAGATTTCATTTCACAGTAGCCGATAGCAGATATAGCTCCATGAATATCTTGTTCACCACCACACCTGCAGTCCCTGGACTTAGCAAAACACATGTCCAGTGAGGGAACAGTGGTATGGGTAGAACCATGTCACATGACTTCTTCTCACTGATACAGGCTTCACCTTTCAAAATGCATTCTGAAACACGCATCAATCCCTCTTGAGTGGCATCTCTGGAATCCCTCTTCCTCATGCCCATGGCCTCAGCTTTCATGCAGATCTTGAGCTCTCTGGCCCAACTCACTGCAGCCTCCTCCCCCCCAGACCCTGCCTCCTTCCTCTCCTCAACTGGTCTCAATTCCCCCTGCCATTCTCAGAAGGAACTTTCTAAAAGCAAACCTAATGAAACTTCCCCATGCAAAACGCCTCAATGATTCTGTTACTTTTGTGTTTTATTAGGCCAGCGCAGTGTATGAAAATGTCTTGAATTTAAGAGCCTACTCCAGTTTGTCGTAGGTCTAACTTTGCCAGATTTATCGGGCTGCTTTACCCACTTAATTTCCCTTGCCCGTAAGGCATCCAAGTTCATGGTTCCTGACTAAAGAAGAAAGCCTCACAGTACTTCTAATTTTCCCATCACAGCATGCTGTACGGTCTGTAAGTAAATATAGATTTGTGTAATTTTTTTAATGTCTATTTCATCCAGTGGACTGTAAGTTCCTGAAGAACAAGGACACTGTTTCCTAGTAACTAGCTTAGTGCATGGCACACAAAAGTCATATAACAAATAAGAAAATTCACACAATAGCCAACATATATATTGGGTTGGCTATACATCTACTTGGTATTAAGTGTGTTACACAGAGGATCTCATATAATATCATAACTCTGGGTGGGTGGTGTTACTATTCTCCTTTGACAGAGGAGGAGCTGGGGGGTTAACTTCTTCAATGTTGCCTATTCACCTGGCAGATTTCTCTCCACTGCTTCTTCCTTAAGAAGCCTTCCTGACCTGCTGGACTAGGCCAAATCATCCTTAGCACCAGCCCCTCTGCCATACATCAGCCACAGTTCTAGTTCACATTCATCTTGGGATGACCTGGTGAGTGCCTGTCTCCCTCAGCAGACCCCAAGAAGGCTGCCCTGCCTGTCTAGTTCCCCATAGCATCCCCACCACCTTGCACTAAGTATGCACTCATGGAATGCCCTGTTTTGGGGTATCTGAAAAACTGTCTGCTTACTGGTCAAGGCAGCATAAACATCATCTTCGAATATCCCCCCAAATCCCCAGCTCACTCTGTACTTCCATGGTACATGTTTCACTCGTACTCTACAGCCATCATTGCCTAGTACTGTAATGGTTTATCTACCGACCTCATTAGCCCTACCAAGCTGCAGGTTACTAGGGGACAGGCATTATGTTTTATTTGCATTGTATTCCAGCAACTAGTACAATCTCCCCACAGTTTAGCTGAATGAATTAAAATATTTTCAATGACAACCTTTGGGGGGGAGAGTGTAGACTTGAGCTTTTTTTTTTTTTTTTTTTTTAATGGAGGTGGAAACTGAGATCAAAAGACTTAAAATGACCTGCCCAAGGTCATAAAATAGAGTTGGGGTTTAAACCTAAGTCTTCTGATTTCATGACCATAAAATATCCTGCAAAGTTTCTTTTCTATCAATTTGTCTTAATTTATGTTTAACACAGGCTCTGTGACCTCGGCTAGGCCTAAAATTCCTTATTATAAAAGGCAAATAAGAATGACCTTATAGTTTTGCAGTGAGAATTTTATAACATAACATTTTCAAAGGGTCTAGCACAGTTCTTGGAACCTCTACTGTCTATCCTACCTACTTGCAAACTTTCTTTAAAACAATACATTTGATTTAGGGTTCATGATTGAGATTCAAAAAAGAAAAGAGAAAAAAAATGTTTCTATCAGTTTATATGTCTGAATGCGACCTCCAGAGACAACAGAAATACTTGGCCCATGGTTCAGTTGCTGTTACTAGGGCCCTGCATCTACAGGTCCAGCTCAATTCCTGAATCATCCTCATGAAATCAGATAGTCTAGCCCACCAGCCAGCATGGTCTGAAACTGGTCTTGGTGACACAGGCTTTGTATCCAACGTACCTCGTAAAATACCTCCAACTTTGCCACACTGGATATGTTCCTACACTCCTATTCCTGAAGAAGAGCTGGAAAGTACAACTTCTCCTGTTCATTAATTAGATGATTTTGTTTTCATAATCCAGGAGTGCTGGCTTAATTTCAGTTTTTCTAAAGCTAAAATATTCATTCTAGCAGATATTTATTGATAGCTATTAATTCTTCCTATCAAGGGAATTTATTTAGCTGCTTAATGACACATTTTGAAGTTTACCTAACCTGATGAGTTCTCTGGATGGCTATTCTGGTTGAAGTCACATGTTCTTTTTTTTTTTTTTTCCTTTTTGTCTTTTTTACTGACCGGTAACGGGATCGCAACCCTCGGTGTCGTGCCCGTACCGGGGACCGGCAACGGGATCGCAACCCTTAACCTGATGAGTTCTCTGGATGGCTTTTCTGGTTGAAGTCCCATGTTCTTTTTTTTTTTTTTTCCTTTTTGTCTTTTTTACTGACCGGTAACGGGATCGCAACCCTCGGTGTCGTGCCCGTACCGGGGACCGGCAACGGGATCGCAACCCTTGGTGTTGCGCCCGCACCGCGCTCAGCCAGTGAGCGGGAACCGGTCTCCACATGGGATCCAAACCCTCGGTGGGAGCGCCGCCGCACTCCCAAGCGGCGCACTCTCCAGTGCGCCACCGGGCTGGCCCGAAGTCACATGTTCTAAAGGAGCATTACTTGACATAGGTACATGGGCTTTGTGGGTAACAGGTGATTTAACATTTTTCCAGGCCAGATTTTTCTCAGCTGTGCTCTGTGAGGTAGAGTTTAGGGACTGAGGACATCTTTAAAGTGCAGAAACAGACTCAGAACTAGTTCTTAACAAACAGCTAAGACTCCCTCCAAGTGAAGCAGGGCAGCCATCCACTCAGAGTTTTGGTTAATTCCTGAGGCTACTTAAAGTCCCTAACAGGATGCCACACTCACCTTCTGCTCATCTGAGTGCTAAGGTGATGCACCTGTTCTAACACAGCAACACCTAGTTGACAAGTGCCTGCTACCTGCCAGCACCCCAAATCTGGAACTGCTCAGTGTTCACCAAAGGACCATTAGAGAAAAGGATGCTTACGAATAGTTATTAAAGAACGCGTATTCCAAACTTTCCCCCAGATTGCTGGTTTCTAAATTTTAGAGGGACATGTGCACATCTGAGAACCCACTGAGATTCTCTCCCTGGAATAAATGAAAATTATATGCAAAATGATCTGCTTGACAGTTGCAAGCCAGTCATGTGTCTGTGAACAGACTCCCCGCAGCTTCATTTGCCAATCTCCTGCAGCAGTGGGTCTCCACCCTGGCTGCACAGTAGGACTACCTGGGGAGTGCCAAAAATAAACAAAAAACAGGATGGTGTACCCCACCCTCAAGGATTCTGATTTTATTCAGCTGGGGTAGGGCCCAGGCCTCAGATTTTTTTTAAGCTTCCTGGATAAATACAATATGCAGAGAATTTTTAATTCTTAAATTTTATTTATTTATTTTTATGGTAGTATACAGGAGCTGGCTTCCACTGGCTCATGAAAGTTATTGTTAAATATTAAGGAATTTCATGAGCCAGACAACCATTGCTACCTTAAAATTGCCCATGGAAGGCATATTTATTCCATGGAAACAGGCAAAAGGTATAAATCAGGGTTTTTGGGGAATATTGGAAATGAGCCCCCCCCCTTTTAAAAAAAACAGCACATCACCGATTAAGAATCATTGTCCCAATGGAGCTAAAAGTACCAGGTAAAGAATTTCTGCTCTAAGTATTCTAGTTCTTAATCCTACTGACAAAGAGTAATAAAGTAGGCCTTTGAGGGCTATGTATTCTCCCACAATATAGCCTTCGTGCCCCTTTTAGCAAAATTGTTTCCAACAAGTTTTATTTTGGCATTTTTCCTTTGGTTTAATCAAGGAATGTTATTTTTTTCTTAAATGAACCTCATGAAACCCATTTCTGTATATTTTGAGGATGACACTGTTCCTAATAACCTTCCCAAATCCCCCAGATGAAGCCCGCAGGAGAAATTTGTTTTAAAGTTAAATATTAGGGGAAAATACACACATACAGCACTGTCCAGGGGAACTAGAAAGTTTTACTGTGATGGATCATGAGCACTGCTGTTTTTTCTTTCCTTTTAGCTGTCCATTAAGCTTTGACCATATTATTCAGACTATAAGGAACACTTTTCTCCCCTTCCTAGTCATTGCATTCTAGTCTAATTTATATTTCTCCTGGTAATGAGAATTTACATTTTGTTATCTTGATGCATGTTACTTCTTCTAAGGCCTTGCAAACCCTTCATGAAATGAGTCCCGGTATGTCTGAGGTACAAACCTACTACTCAGCTTTTGCCTCACTTATGATTTGCATACCACGTTGCCGCTGAGACTGAAACTTGGCTAACACTGGAATTACTGGGGGAACTTTAAAAAGTACACATGCCTGGATCTTATCCTCAGAGATCCCCATTTAACTGATCTAGGATACAGCCTGGGTATCCGGATTTTTCAAAGTTCTCTAGCTCTTTGTACTGTGCAGCCAAAGCTGAGAACCCAGGGCCATGTCTTCTTATTGCCCACCTGCACTCCAGTTCTGCCAAACTTAGAAACCCCAGCCAGTTGAGAGCTCTTCTCTTCTACAGACTCGAGCCCAAATCCAGCCCAAGTTTGCCCTATGGATGCTGTGAATTCAACTGCACATTGACCACAGGGGAGCCAATTCAGTAGCCTGGTCAGCACCCTTGGCCTGAGCCTCCCGGACCCACATTCCTTACTTTCTCCAACAAGCCTCATGGCAGAGTCTGCGGCAGAGTCTGCCAAAACAGGAAAGAGAGGAAAACATTACCAATAGAATAGTGAAGTTTTCCAAAACACTGTTCATCATATATTTCTCTGGTAAATGTTTGAGCTTGTGGATGAAGTTGATCATATATTCACACATCGGGGAGCGGTTTATTCGGTATACAAATCGGCCATTCTCAAACCTTGCATACTCCGTCTGTGGGGGAAAAACGATGTGCGCATTTTAACACTTTTGACTTCAAAATACATGAAACAGATATTACTGCCTGAAAAACATTTTACTTTTTCAACATAAATAATCTGCTATATCCTGTATTACTTATGTAGTTTACTTAATTTTTTTTTTTTTTTGTCTTTTGTCTTTTTCCGTGTCCGGCAACGGATTGCAACCCTCAGTGTTGCCCCGGCACCAGACCGGGGACCGGCAACGGGATCGCAACCCTCGGTGTTGCTCCCGCGCCTCGCTCAGCCAGTGAGCGGGAACCGGTCTGTATGTGGGATCCGATCCCTCGGGCGGGAGCGCCGCCGCGCTTCCCAAGCGGCGCACTATCCAGTGCGCCACCGGGCCGGCCCAGTTTACTTAATTTTTAAAAAATCCTATCTCCAAACTTACTGCCATACACAGAATCCATTATTTTTCTGGAAATTAAAAAAAAAAAAAAAGGAAAGATAATAGCTTAAAGATAAGTTTGACAGATGCTTTGAGCAAAGGGCCAAAAAATATATAACAATCTACTTAATGATTCTTTACGTGGAGAAGATCTGTGAGAGTAGACCACAGCAAGTTACGATTCTTTAAAGAGCCCAAGAAAATCCTTCCTTACAGTGATAAGCCCCAATACAGCTATTTTTTCTACTTAAGGAAAAACTAGTTACTTCACATTAATCATGAGCCCCTGAATGTTAGGGAGAGAGGAAGTGAGGAGAGGGGCAGGAATACTACTATATATAAAGTTTGAAGATCCCATGGGAGTGCTTAGAGATAAGAAACATGCTCCTAGATAACCTTAGATCACAAAATAAGTAAAAAGGAAATTAAAAACTATCTAAAGAGCAATGAAAAGGAAAATGGTTTACATCAAAACTTATGGGACGCAATGAAACTATACTTGAAGGAAGCTTGATGAAACAGCCACATAGGTCTTTGTCATTAAAGATGAAAAATTCCAGAACTAAATACACATCTTAAAAAATTGGGGAAATAAAACCCCACAAAATAAACCAAAACCACAAAGAAACCAAAGGAAACCGGGAATAGGAAACTAATAAAGATAAAAGCTCAAATCAATGAAATTGATATTTAAAATGTAGACAGAATAAATTTTAAAACTGGCTCTTTAAAAAGACAAAATAAACCCTTCACACACTTAAAAATGAGAAGAAAGAAGAGGCAAAACCACAATTACAGCAGAGATTAGAAGATACATAAGAGGTTACTTCACATAATTCTAAGCCAAAAAAAAAAAAAAAAAAAAAGGAAAAGGCACTAGAAATAGAAAGCCATTTAGAGATCTACAGTATGAAGACCACAAAGGATACAAAATTTCAGTTAGATAAGAAGAATGCTTTCAAGAGGTCTATTGTAAAACTTGGTGACTACACTTAATAACAATGTATTATATTCTTGAAAATTGCTAAAATTTTACGTGTTCTCAGCACACAAAATGGTATGTGAGGTAATGCATATGTAACTCAGCTCGATTTAGCCATTTCACAATGTATACATATTTCAAAACATCACGTTGTACACAATATATACAATTTCTATTTGTTAATTAAAAATAAATAAATGCTGGGCCGACCCCGTGGCGCACTCGGGAGAGTGTGGCGCTTGGAAGCGCAGCAGCGCTCCCGCCACGGGTTCGGATCCTATATAGGGATGGCCGGTGTGCTCACTGGCTGAGCGCGGTGCGGCCGGTCACAAAAAAAAAATTAAATTAAATTAAAAATAAATAAATAAATGCTTAAAAGAAGAAAAAAAAGTATAAAGACCAAATATTTTCACAGGTACATTTTATGTAAACTTTAAAGAATAGTTATTTCCAGTGTTATTTAAACTATGCTAGGCCACAGAAAAAGGTAAGCATCCCAATTCTTGTTATGAAACTAATGTACATTCAATATTGGAATTTGATAAAGAGATTATTAAAAGTATAGACTAATATCGCTTATGAGACATAAAAATTCTATGCAAACTATCAGCAAATAGAATCCAGCAATGCACTTGAAGCAGGACTTTCTTTAAAAATGCAGTGGTGGTTCATACACAGAAAATGTATTAACTCAACTTGTTATGTCAACAGATTGGAGAAAAATCATATTGCAAGAGTCACTGAAAAATCATCTGATAAAATATTGAAGATATTACTATTAAAAATCATAAGTAAAATAGGAATAGAAAGAAAGCACTTAAATATGTAATAAAGACAATTTATAAAAACCAGCGGTAATTGTAATTGTAATCCTAAGTGGCAAAACAGCAAAACTATTGCTACCAACATCAGTAACTATACAAGGATACCTACCATACTATTTCTTTATATGACTGTATCGAAGGTTTTAGCAAACAGAAATTAAAAAGAAATAAAATAATTCTTTTTTTTTGGCCGCCACTGAGATAATATGCACATGCATAGAAAACCCAAGAATCTAGGGAAAAAACCACCAGAGTTATATAAGAGAATTTGCTAAGACATCCATATTGAAGATAGATATGTAAAATCCAAGAGCTTATCTCCATTCTAATCAGAATGTAGAAATGAGAAATTGCAACAAATTATAATTGTATAGTATTTGGAAATATATTTAACAAGAATGGGAGAAATCTATATGATAAAACCTATAAAATCTTATTAAAATACACAAAATAAGATGAAAATGCAAATAGGTTCTTGATTGGAAAGATTTAGTATCAATAATATACCAATTTTTCCCAAAATAATATCTAAATCTAAAGAGATTACAATTACTTTGCTCAAACACAATTTTTGTTTTTCTTTACATTTTAAAAACAATCTCGGGGCTGGCCAGTTGGTTGGAGCGCAGCCTTGCAACACTAAGGTCCAGGGCTTGGTTCCCTGTACCAGCCAGCCACCAAAATAAGTAAGTAAGTAAATAAATAAATAAATAAAATAAAAACAATCTCATTATTTGGAAGAATAAATGCTGGCTTCTAGCTTAGAAAACATATGAAAAAGAATAGTGAGGTTGACTTGCCTCACCAGATATCAGAACTATAAAGCCACTGTAATCAAATCAACATGGTATTGGAATACGTAGAGACAAACAGAGGGTGGTATAGAATATAGACTCCAACAACAGCTCCGGTACATATGGTAACTTAAAGGGGACAGATCTATGTAACTGAAACAGGATGAATCACTTAATGAATGGTTTTAATAAAATTGCCTATGTGTTTAGAAGAAAAGGTAAGCAGATGACCATTTCAAGCCAAATGCAGACATACATTCTAAATGAATTAACGGCTTAATGTAAAACTCCACCTGCCACACTCACATCATCTTCTCCATGAAAATTCCTGGGATTTTATCAGTCAAAGGCAACCTCTCCCTGCATCTCCTGAATTTGCCTAGAGCTTTGGGTATATCACCTGAGGGCACCACGAAGAGTAATTTGAAATCTGGAAAACTGAGTAACCTGTTTGGTTCATCTTTTTTCACATGCACCTGTCTGGGCAGGGAAGTCCATCTAAAGAGAACATCCCTGGCAACTTGGCTGTTCATTCACTGACACTGTCTGACACTACCTTCCAAATTCCCAACCACCCACATGTAACTTTGCTTCCTTCTTTGTGGAGGAGATGGAACTCATCTGGTGCCAGGTCTCCCTGCCCTGTCTCCCTTCTCATCCACCCTCTCCTTGGGCTTCCCAGGCCTTGTGTTGAGCCAGTTCCCCTCCTCCCCACTCCATTTTTGTCCACTGTTCCTCTGTTCGTGTCTGCTGCTGCTGTTCTCCAAATTTAATTCTCATTCCCGTGTTCCTGTTACTTCCTCTCTGCGGCTAGTTCTCCATTTCCACAGCTTTAATTATCCTTCATGCTTAGGATTCCCAATTGATAGTTTCAGTCTTTGTCTCCCAAATCCTAGTCTTGCATCTATAATCATTCCCTATTTCCTCTTGACCACCTTATTTCCTATGTCTGCTGTTGCCAGTACTGTCCTTCCAAGTATAAAATGTAAGCATGACTTTTGACTCTTCCTCTTTAATGCTTAATGTCCAGTCAGTTTCTAAGTTATATTAAAAATGTCTTACTGGATTCTTACTGCCATCATTTTAGCAAAGATCATGACCCTTGAGCTTAAATTGACCATCTAAGTCAACTTGCCTGTATCCTCTTTTGCCAGCATAACCTCCCTTCACATCGCTTTCATGCATGCCAACCCCTCTCTGCCCAGCCCAAGGTCTTAAACAACATGCCCTCATCCTTGTCTCCCCCCTTACATCCTCAGCACAAAGTCTTTGTCACAGTCAGGTTGGGCTCCTGCACCTGGGAGGGTTAGGTCCACTGCAAATAAAAACTACTCACTAAACATGAATCAATTGGGTGAATAGTAGAAGACATGGGAAATGCACCTCTGAAAGGAGGGGCAACTATAAATGTTATGCACACAAAGCAACTCACCCTGATAACACACACACATTTTTTAAAAGGAGAGGCATGAAATACAAGAACCATAAATAGATATTTAATGTCAATTATATAATGAAATACATTTAAAACAATTAAAATTAAGGGACTGAAAACAGCAAAAGCAGCAGTATCAAAGTCAAGGGTCAGTGTTTAAGAAGGCAGGTGCCAATCAGCTGAATACCACCTTTACTGTTGCCTACACTGTCTGGGAGTGCCCTTGGGCCTGGGGGTGAGCTGGGTAAGGCGTCATTCTGAGAGGGGGCGGGGCCTATCTCAACCCGGCTTCTATAGCAGGCACCCTGTGAGGCCTCACGCAGAGGCAAACAGTGCTGGCTGGCCAGGGCAGACATAGATGTCTGGCATGGGACTTTCCACTTGCTTTCTTTCAGGGGCTTCCAAATCACTTTGCCTGTTTAGAAGCAATAGGATAAAGAAGTGGGAGGGGAAGAGATATCAAAAAGTACAACAGTCTGCCCCATGAAGGTTTAAAGGTAGGAAATGTGCTGCCCCCTGAATGAAGGTTCTGGTAGACAGGGGCCAACTTACCTCTACTTTTTCTACTACTTGCTTCCCAAAGGAGCAAACTTTGGTGGAACAGGTGACTGTCATATTTTCAGAACTCTCGTACTGACTGGTTACACCATAAAAAGCCCCGGCATCGTCTTGAATATTGCAGTTTAAATCAGCCTGTTAGAAAGGAAACGGATGTGGGGTTATTTTCTCATCCCAGGAGTCATGGCACCAAGCAGCAGTTGTCAGGGTGAGACCTCCATGTGGCTGAGTGGAGGGGAGGGCTGGCTCGGGGAGATGGGGAGGTGATGCTCACCTAGAAGCAAGTTCAATGCCCATCAGTCATTTTTTGAAGAGGGCTCTAATCTGGGCAGTCTTCCCTTGAAAGGACATGCTACTTGAATCGAATTTGTTTTACTTTCTTGCCTTCAGTATCAGAATAATATGGCGCCCTCACAATAAAAGATCCACGAGGTCTTTGAAACATGTGCAGAAAGCAGGATATGACTGGATTCATACTCACTAATCTTTAGAGATAGTTAAAAGAACAGAAGATTGCAGCAGACTAGCTATTATACATGTAAAAATGGAAACTTTTCTAAAAATTATAGCAGATGGAGGGGAAATGGTTCCTATTAAAGACTGGCTTACAAAGATGCTAAGTAATTAGCACAAATTGCCACTCATTTAACACATTTTGAGTAAGTACCTACTATGTGAGGTTCATGTTAAAGACACTGTATTGGACTTGGCTACAACCTAACATAGGAGCCAGGCACATAAAGTAACTACCTTTCAGATAGAAAGTAAGTAGCACATCAAAGGTAGAGTTTCGACAATGGAAGGCATTACTTTCAAGATCTTAGTTTAGGGATGGTTAAGATTGGCACATTTAGAAAAGGGCTAAGGGATAGTGCGGGCAGAAGCTTGGAGTGCTTCATTCTATAACTGCAGTGCAAGGACTAGGAGAGCAGGAGAAGCAAGTTTGGAAATGCAACTTGGACCCAGGTGCTGCAAAGCTGAATAAGGGGTGCAGATTGTATCCTGTAGGAAACAGGGATCCCTTGAAAGTTCTGGTGCCTGGAAGTGATGTGACTAGAGCCATTCTTCAGAGGGAAACATCTTAGCAGAATACAATGTCCACTAGAGAAAAAGACTATTGCAGCATTTAGGTTACTGCTGCGGTCTGAATGTGTCACCCCCAATTCATGTGTTGGAAACTTAATCCCCCAATAAAACAGTGTTGGGAGGTGGGGCCTTTGGGGAGGTCTTTAGGTATTGAGGTCTCTGCCCTCATGAATGGTACATGATGCTATTAAAATGACTTGTGGGAGTGAGTTGGCTCTCTCTTGCCCTTCCACCTTCTGCCATATGAGGACACAGCAAGAAGGCCTCGCCACATGCCAGTGCTGTGATCTTGGACTTCCCAGCTTCCAGAAATGTGAGAGATAAATTTCTGTTCTCTATAAATTATCCAGTCTATGGTATTTTGTTATAGCAGCACGAAATGGACTAAGACAGTCACCTATTAATAGTTCCTCTCTCACATATCTACTGACCCCTTCTATACATCAGGCATTGTGTTTAGAGATAGGGATAAAAGAGTGAGCAAAAGCTGAGCTAGTCCCTGCTCTCAGGAGGCTTATGATTTAGTAAGAATGAAATCACAACAGAGACAAGTACCCCTGAGAGAGGTACAGAGGAACATGAGAATAAACAGCAGTGGGGAACGGAACCCCAGAAGTCAGGGACACTTCTGATGATTAGGCAGCTCAACCCAAAGGAAAAAGACATGGCTTAGGCGAAGCTTTCTGTAAGACAGAAGAGGTACACAGCCGGAAAGAAGGACTACAAAAAGGCTGGAATGGAGACAGCAAGGGAGAAAGTACGGCAAGAGAGCTGGGGAACTGGGAGGGTTTGGGTCATATAACTGGAGACCCAAGGGACACAGGAGTTGTAAGCAAACAGGATTGGAGCAGGGATAGGGATGATCAGATTTGCACTGCAAAAAGGCACCTGTGCGAACAGCTTGGGGAAGACTCTGGAAGAGAGCAAGAGTGCATGTAGACATATGTTAGGAGGCCATTGCAGCAGTCCAAATGAGAGATGATAATCTGTGGACTACTGTGGTGGCTATTGAGACAGAGGTGGGTGGGTTTGATATTCGTATGAGATTTTACATTTTTTGTGAGATTTGGCACATTGTGACTAGCTAATTTTAATACTTTGACAGGCACTAACCACCATGAAGACCTGAGTCATCCTACACATTTTTTAATAAGCGCCTCCACTTGAATTTCCTTCTTGAATTGGGTATTAGAAAAATGTTCATCTCCTTAGGCAAATCTTCATGTTTTCTTCCCTCAAATAAAGAGAGCCATACAATCTATAGTCCCCTTTTGCCTTACATGCCAAGAAATTCAAAGCTAAATTCGGTGCTCAACTACCATAATTAACCTGTTCCAGGTGCTCTTAATAGCTACTAACAACCTAGGTACACCTCCTTTTACTGGTTTCCAATCTGCTTTTACTTGTACTTGTCTAGTTTTATATGACCCATAAATGTTTTTGCTTTTTGGAATTACAGAGGCACAAATCATAAATAAATCAAAGGTTTCACATTTGACTCCCCAAAAGAGCATCCTAGAGGGAAACATCCATGTCTTTCCCTGAGATCTGCATCTAAGCTACCCAAAGCTGAAGAGGCCCCTTTGTCCAGCTGAGCTCCAGAGTCCAGGGGAGAAAGGCTGCCCACAGATTCTAGGCACACAGAAGCTCTGAATGCCAGGATTACCAGCAACCTTTCCACAGGGAGGTTGGTCCCTGGTATGTACTACAAGTGGGCCGTGTTTTGCTTCCATCTCGGAACACACTGCTCTGCAGAGTGCCTCAGTTGTTTTGTGGTGGTGGGATTATCAGTGATGCTCTTTTTTGTCGGATTTATGCTCTTAACTACTATGATATAGTTTGTGCCAAAAAACTTCAGCATTTTTTAAAAGGTAAAGACATACATGTGGTGAGGAGGGAAAAAAAAAACCAAACTGTAAAAAGGTCATACAGGTTTATTTCTACCCATGAACTTGCCAACTTCCCAGAGGTAACCACTGTTATCCATTTCTCAAGTGTCCTTTTAGGGATATTTAGCACTTAGATATTCAAGCATATATAATCTTCCTTTTTCATACAAATAGTAACATACTATATTCACTCTTCTAAACCTTGCTTTTTAAAAAAATATGTAACTATACATGTTGGAACTCATAGAGTACTGACATGGAATATCGGTATTAAAAATAACAACCATTTAAAAAAAATGAGCAGCCTCAATTTTTAGCAGCTGCATACTGTTCCTCTGCACAGATGCACCGTGACTCAACACGTGCTCTGGTGAGTACTTAGAATGTTTCCCGACAACACTGCAATAAGAAGTCTGTTGATCAGGAAAGGTGCATTAGGAATTACTTTTCTTTCAACTTTACAAAATTCCCAGCTTTGAAAAAGGATATTCATTGTGCTATGAATAACCTGTGAGCTAACACTGTAATTTAATATTGCCATTTAAACAAACTAGTTATTTTTGATGTGACCAAGTTATTTTGAAAGGCTGGTGAACAATCAAAAGCAAGTTTGGCATTTCTGGTGTGAGGAATGAAGAGTGAGTGTGGGAGAGAAACCAGGGAAATAACAGTGGCTGGAAGGTCAATGGCAGAGGAAACGGAGTTAGGTTATTTTTAAAAACTGTCAACTTCAACTTACTTAAGTTATACAAAATAGTCTGTCAATATATACAATTTAAAATGTTAACCAAGTTTAAAATGGTATATGCCATGATTTGATGTTAGCAAAACTGCTGAAGATTTTCACAACTGTCACAGTTCCCATCTGTATGAGTTCTGTGCTTAAATAACACTAGTGACAGTAGCTGTCCTATGGCAGTGGCACACCCAGCAGATTTGACAACTAGAGCGGATAATTTTTAAGACCCCCTTCCTTTATTTGACAAAATTATCTTCATTTTCAGTAATAATCAGCACTCTTTTTCAGTTGTTTAAAATTTTAAACACAAATACTCCAAAAGTAGTAACAGAGGACAGAATTGAAGTAACTCAAGTTATTTCTTTGTCTACATAATCACCATGTATCATCGCTCATTTACACATCTTTAACCATGAAAAGAAATTGCACCATGGGATCTGCAGACTCAAACTAGACTTAAAGCAAGTGCAAATGATTCCAAACTGTTAAGAGCTTACTCTGGAAATGCATACTAGGCCGAGTCCATGTGTGTTGTAAATGATAAGTAATGTAATGAATAAGTAATATACGTGTGTTAATTTGAACCACATGTATGTTGTATATATGGATATATAAAATAAAAATTCAACACTAACTTCAATTATTTAGGAGTTAGGCCAACGAAGAATGTTTTTTTCGTGAGGAGTGTTTTATCAATGACATTGTTTAGAACTGTGGGTGCATATGATAAAAAGGAAACTGATTTTTAGATGGTGTTGTGCTGTTTGTAAATTCCCTCCAGACAAGCAACTTCCTTACTGCCTGCACCTGAGGCAGGCCATGCCTTCCCACTTCCCTGCACCTGTGGTTTACCACAATCAGTTTTAATTTGAAATGGATGATATGTAGTTATAATGATAGGAATAATCAACAGTGAAGTTATGAAAGAACACCCATTATGAAAACCTACTCTCAGAAACCATCCCAACGAATTAAGTTTAAAAGTTGTCAAAGTTAACTTTTTACATCAAGTGTAACATACATTCAGAGAAATGCACAAATCGGAAGTTTACAGCTCAATTAATTTCCATCAAGTGAACCAGCACCCACAAGAAAAAACAAAGTCTGTTGCAAATATGCTCTGTCCTAGTCATAATCCCTCCACACCTCACCTGGGTAACTGTGATTCTAAAACATGATATATAGGTTTTGTCTGTTTTTTTTTTATTTTAAATGTTAAATAAGTGAAATCATGTGGTGTTTACTCCTTTGTGTTTTGTTCGCTCAGCATCTTACTTGTGAGATCCATCCACACTGTTGTGTGGAGTTCATTCGCCCTGTTACTACTGTAGAGCATTCCACCGAATGAGACTGCCACGGTCTATCCCTTCTATTACTGATAGACCTTTGTGATGAATCCAAATTGGACCTATTACGAACAT